TTATTCTCTAGCGCTCTTGGCTTTGCTTCGTGGACAGAAATGTGTAGTTTATGAGACAATCGGCTGATGAATATTATTGGCAATAAAACGATAGGGCATGGAAGCTTAGATCAGCCCGCTAAACTTCACATTTTACTGCCCTGGTGGAAAAAATTTATTTATTTTTACAGCTAACAGCGTTATGATTGCTTCACTACTGTGCGCACAAATGTGTAATTTAATAATTAACTGGGTAAATGTCCATTAGAAATGTTGCACCATTTTACTACATGCTAAAATGATGGCTATTAGAACTAGTTTGTGTTTGTATTGTATTTCAAAAACATGTTTTGGTCGAGTTGCAGCTTATCTAATTGAACAAAGTTTCTTAATATATCTATCTAAAAACATCTAATTTCTACACTGGCTACTCTCTGCTGTCTCAGAACAGAATCTTTTGTCCTATGTCAGCCATGGTAGCTATCCTACGTGCTTAGAAGAGGGTGGGTGAGTGAGCAGTTTGCAAGGGAGTAAGCCAGAGAGCGGACAGTAAAGCCGACCAAAGCCTGCATGGAGGGATCCATGCTTCACTGCTCTCCATTCAAATCAGCGTGGTGGCTTCGTCCAGTAATATACGGTCTATGGCAGTTTGTTGCAGTTTGTTGCAATTTGCAACCCTCACCACTAGATGTCACCAAAACTTACACACTTAACCTTTAAGTTGATAGAGTGAACTTGTTAGCAAACAGTTGCTTATTTACACACATCCAGCAGTTACAAAGCACCATTATTATTAATTTGGAGTCGTGTTTCTGGCCACTTGGTGAATGTACATCCAATATCTTTTAGCTCTGTCTGCACCAAATCCTGAGAAAAATATCTGTCTCTTTGGCTGCTAAATCTTCCACTATGTCGACCAGCTAGTCTCTAACATTGTCTGTCTGCTGTTTGGTGCTTTGCAAGTACCGTACAGTGAGTTTTTAGATAGGGATGCACCGAATGTTCGGCCACCAAAAATTGCACTTTCGGTGTTCAGCCTAACAAGTCAAAATAAAGAACAATTATGTTTTGACATGTCGGCATGGTGGAAAAATTTTAAAGCGTCCGAGAAAGACGCCGCCGAATTGTCTCCTAGCACATCCGCTCCATCTGTGGCTGACCCATTTGTGGCTGACTCATTTGTTTTTCTGTCACTCGTTTCTGAGAAAGCGATTAAGCTAGCCAGTGCACATGTATTAAAGCCTTTATGGTAAATCCACTGAAACGGACCAGCGGACCAGCTTGATGAATGTAGCGCGAGGATAAACATGTGACAACGTCGGGTTTTCAACATAAGGTGTCTATACAGTATAGAAATAAGAGTAATTGGATTATATTCACAGAAAGTATAAAACATATTACATGTGTACATTAAAAGTAAATGGACACATATAATTTACTTTATTTTAAGTGATGATTCTCTGGAGGTTCATCCCTACAAGCAACCTCTTTCACACTGTCACAATGTTTTCACAGTGTCATTTGATGATATGTTGTTATTGGAAAATTATCAATTACAGCCACTTTAAAGAAGTGTATGATAGCAGACATGGACAACACTCACTGGTCAATAAATTACTAATAATTAATTAATAAAAGAGCAATCAATATCTTTGCCAGTTTATCAGCAATATAAATGTAAGCCTAGCACAAATGTATTGGCATTGAATAAACACTGCTTTGCCGTGTGGCAAAATTCTGAGTGATCCCGCCTATCCTCTTTCTTTATTGATATCTGTCTCATTGTCTAGTCGATGTGTTGTGGAATACACTGCTTTGTCTGTCTACAGGTTTTCATTTCATTTCAAGTAATGTTAACGGTGCGTTGATGGGCCACAGTTGGGTTTTTTGAAACAAGGGGCTGAACTCTGCAGTGACCTCCCGTTTCATCTTTCTGAATCATTCATTATTCCTTTGTGAGCGGAGAGCTGCACGAGGCTCAGCTGCGTAGAGGAAATGGATTGGATTTGATTCGGTCAGCCATGTGTTTTAACAAGGCCTCTCTACTTAACAGTCAGCTGTAAGAAACATGAGGATCAAAATAGGAAAAGCACTGGAACATAAATGAGTGTAAACTCTGTAGAAAACCAACAACAGCTAATCTTATCGTGACAATCTGTCATTTTCACACTCCAGCGTTAAAAAAGTAAATCTCTTGGTCGGCTGAAAAACACCCAGTTCATTAACCTGTGAAAAAAGAAATTGTTACTGCTTACTGTATATCATTAGCATTAAGCTGAAATCCTTAGGGAGGGCTTGGCTGTTTGTTTGCTGTGGGCTTAAACATTCATGCTCATCCTGTTGAATAAACAGGCTTGGATTATCCTAGGAGCCAAAGACAACATGCTAGCTGCTCCAGCCACAATCACAAACAGATCCACTGAGCAGTACTGCTCAACAGGAGCATTACAATATTTGCTCTAGATGGAAGATACCTAAAGACATGTGCTTTCTGTTCATTCAGTCATTTAAACCCCCACAAATTAAGAAATAATTAAGTAGCTGAATTATTTATGGGACAAATTTTTGGGAAATGTCAGTCAGATTCATTATTTATATCACATTTCAACATCATGTATATTTTAAATATACTAAATAATGAACTTTAAAGTTTGCCCAAATTAGATATATTAGAAATTCTTCCTTTATTGCTGATGAGAATGATGCAAGACCAACTGACAACTACTGCTGTCTGTCCATCCTGGGAGAGGGATCTCTTCTCTGTTGCTCCCCCTGAGGTTTCTACCATTTTTTTCCCCTTGTTAAAAGGCATTTGGGGGGAGTTTTTCCTAATTCAACTGTCTAATTTGGAAGAGAAAATTAAAAAGGAGGAGATCTTTTTCAGTTATGTATTTTGCTCTATTATTGTTTCATGTGATAAAAGGCACAACAGCAGTTAGAAATAGCCTAAATAATCAGGATTCTTCTTCAGTACTCCATATATCCCCTCTGTGTGGATATGTGCAGCTGAATGAGTGTGAAAAGCTGCTGAAAACAGAGCGTAGAAAATGTGCTCCCTCAAATACATAAACAGTGTAAAGGTCAGATAACAGACAATGCTTTTCTTTTATGTCCTTTTTCTTAACGTACAAGCAAAACCAACAGGCTAAGCAGAAAAGCTCAATAAAGGTCAATTATAGGGTTACTGGAAGTAATAAAACCAACTGGTCTACATTTTTGTTCATGCCCAAGCATACCTTATTAATACAAAACCTGTAATTTACAATATTCGAATTGATTCTTGCATTTTTATTATTAATTTAGTTCTATTTTATCCACATTTCCCCCTCTGTTCGCTGTTCCAGCATCCTTGTGGATCGCTTCTGTCCTCTAGTGGAGAAATATGGAAAGGGTCCAAAAAAATACTGTTTATCAGGAGCCTGCCAGGATGTGAAAATAATGGCTTTGATGACCTACATGATAAGTTCTTGAAATTAACCCCCCTCAGCCCCTTAACACATTCATATATTTTAGACAGATTAATATTCTAAATTTATTTTTATCCAAATGAAGAATAGCTACCGCTTTTGAAAATTTTGGTGACTGTACCCATGTCCTCTATGACCCTCTAGTAATTCATATATGGTGTGGGTGAATATTTTTAGGTAATGCACCATCACTATAGGCATAAAGCATCCATACGTCTAGCATGGTGAGCCCTTATGGGAATGGAATATATTGTGGGTTGCCCAGTGGGATTTAAATATGCCATCACAGTTGCCTCTAAGAGGTGGTCTGAACAAGACTGACCCACAAAACATTATAGTTATCAATTGTTTTTTTAAAATTTGTATTAGCTCACTATAAAGTTGAAACCATGTAAACCTCAAGATTATTCCTGGTATTTTATCCACTTAATTTACATGCTACAAACAAACAAAAGCTTTAAAAAGTATCAGGGTTGAATCGGCACTGTGACAGAATTAACAAGAATCTAAACAAATACTAACAAAGATATGACTGTTTATTAAAATGGAAATGTTATTGCTTTTAAAGAATAGTTTAAATATATTAAACATACTGATATAATGCTTTTCACTGTTTCAGCTAATGTAACCAAACTGTAAAGTGTTGCCCATGCCGTTTGGAATATGAACCCTTGTAAAACAACACAGTATTTGAGTAAATATGTACTCAAGAGTTGTTCTCTAATCCAATAGATTGTTTAATCTATAAAGTTTTTTTAGGGGGAAGGCCCATCACAAGTTCCCAGAGCCCAAAGGTGATGTTTTCATGTTGCTTGTCTAGTCTAGTCAACCGACTCAAATCCCAAGATATTACATTTATGTCATTTACAAAGATATAAAGCAGATAATAGCACCACGTCCTCACATTTGAAACAACTTTTTTTGTTTGATAGATTATTTAATTCACCTATTCATTAATTGACTAAATATTGTTTCTATTTGTTGCTAATTATTTCCAGAAAGCAGACAACAAAGACATATCTTGTCTTTTAATTAAAGACAACAAAAGTGAAATCACATTATGTAATAATGAATTTTGAGTGTGCAGTCAAAGGACATTGCATAAAAGAAATGGAGGAGCTGCTCACAGCTGGAGAAAATATATTGTGGGTGGTAAATGGCCAAAATGGTTGTGGTGAGACTGCAGACATGTGACTGTATTGATAACTTAAAAGTTTCAGTTTGATTTCTTGTTGGTTAAAATGGTAACATATGTTGACTTTTATAGTAATTGTTAAAACCATATAGTATAATAATTAGTGTGTACTACATACTGTATGAATTTAGTATGCTAGCTAGGTTTATCCTGATGATTTTGTGTTCTTTCATTATATCTTTAGTGAGATTTCTATACTCCGTTCAAATGAACACCCAGCAGATGGACTGTTTCTAGTGGAAGACCTAACCACATCTTAGTTTATATTTGTTGCATTCTGCTTGTCTGCAATTGCATATAATTTGAATATTCAGTACCATCTGTTTTAACCGCCGCTCTGTATATCCGCCTGTCTGTCCCTCTGCCCCAGTGAGTGACTTGAGTCTGATTCAAGGAACATTTGTTTAATCTAAAGAGGAATTATTTATCCATCAGTGTTGATGCTGTTATGTAAGTACATATGGCAAAGACAAAAAAAGTGCTAAACGTGAGTTTAACCTGCTAATATAAAAATGTTTTATTACATTACTGCAAACAGCACCTGTGACTATGCTTTGGCACCTGCGGTAATGTCTTCTCATTTCTGTCAGTGGTTTCTCTCTGTGAAGCAGCCTCAGGGGGTCACTGTTGAGCAATTCCTGGAACAGCTGTGTCCTTCTGTGAAGTATGTGGTAATGATAAGTTAAATATTAGATACTGACCAGTCAGTGTTGTTTTTGGTAACCATGTTTTTATTGATTGGTGTTCCGGGGGAAGGATAGACATGGAAACATTTCATGTGCTATGGTTGGACAGGGTAAGAAACAAAGGCATGAACATGCATACACATGCAGCATACATCTCTATATGTACACATTTAAAACCAGTTAAATGTATATAGATATATAAGGTGTTGTTCCTTTCCTAAACAAATTAGACACCATGATTATTGTATATTAAAGTAAATCTTACTCCTTGTGTTTTTTGTAATATCCAAAAACCCAAAATCCTCTACCTAATCCCTTTGTCTCCTCAAGGTTATTCACAATCTAACAAACAGAGTAAAATAAACTAGTATTTTCTTGTAATCATTTTAGTCAACACAACTTTCAGTTGCATTAATTACACAAATTAAGAGGGGGAACAAGTATTAGATACATATACATGAATTTACATCAGCACACCGGTTGGACAAGTTCTCAAATTCAAATTAGCCCAGTTATTGGTGATCAAAATGTTGTAAGAGTTGGACACTCTTTGTTTGAGACCTCAAAGTTGCAGAATAACTGCTAGTTTGTTTTCGACCATTGTATTTTTGTAAGCTTATGGGTGTCGACCTCTTTTCGTTCTTTAATGTACTTTTGAGCCAAGAGCTAAGTAACCCTCTTTTGTTTCATTTTGTGTATCGGTTGTTTGTCAGCACCCGTATAGCCTCTTTCTGTTACTTTCTGTACTTCCTTGTGTAAGCGCCCTCTTTGGTTAAACAACTGACTGTAACCAGAACCTTCCAGTTGTCGCAATCCACCTCAGTTCCACTCCCTATTGTATATTAATGCTCTCCAAGACGAGCCGGGTCGTAACACCAGTAAGATTTAAATTACATTTCACAAAAAAAACATATAGTATACCTACAGACTAACTGTTGCTTAGGTTAGAATAATGTGATATTTCCCAAACATTTTAAACTGCAAAAACACAACAAACATTCAAATACATTTCTTCATGTATAGATATAGAAATAAAATAGTCATAGCTGTACCTACATTTGAAAAGAATTGGCAGTAAAGTTTAATATATGACTCATGAAACTGTTATTTTTGGTTAGTTATGTTGCAGCTTGTGATGCTACAGTGATTTTCTGTTAACTGAGTTGATTGCTTTCGATTGGACAGCACTACAAATGTTTTCAAGCAACCGATTTATACATTACAAAAGACTCAAACCACTAGTTTTAAACTTGCTATCAGTTACTAAGAACTTTTGAAGGACTTAACACTAATTCTGTTTCTGAATATGGATTGGTTATGGACAGATGACAGCACATTCAAGTGTTTTATTTTCTGAATGTTGATGTACGGACGGCAACAGAAATATTAGTAAGCAAGTTCCAGGCACAATGTTATGAGTAAGTAGTATGTCCCATTTCTATGCAAGCTGCATACAACAGTAAGCACTTTGTAAGGGCGGCTGCAGTATATACTAACAGTAAAAAGAAAGTATTCGATATGGTACACAGCACATGTGTACCATGGGCTTTTTCACAATTCTTTTCAAGGGGAGAGACTGGGCAACAATGTAAACTTCAATGTAAACTTTAGATTAGTCAACCAATCATTTTTAAAAAGTTAATTATTAATATTTTTGTGCATTCATAAGATTCATGTAACATGTAAATGCAGGAGTGAATATACAGTATATCGGCTGCCTCAGTTTCTTATCACAAATTGGTAACAAATATTCTGAAGAATGAGTTTGTGCAATAGGCTATACAAGTGTTTCTGTGACCCAGACACACACTGTTTACAACAAGTACTATGAATAACAGAAAACTATATTGAGAAATATAGACAAACCCTACATTGCTTAATGGCTACATTTTGTTTTAATCGTTTCCAAACTGAGGTCAGACTCATGCATTATTTGTTTCCCAGCCTTTTGGCAGCTTTTTCCACCTTCACAAGGCCACCAACAAATAAACATTTGCATAAACTGTGTCCTTATGTGACATTTATACACACTAAATGTAACATAGTTTCATATTTTTTTAAATAATTTTAATACTTTTGAACTAGTTTGAAGTGACTGCTTTGCTCTGCTTAAGTCTTATTTTATATTTACACTAGATGAGAAGAGCCTGAGTAGACTTGCTGAAACGCAACAAATTTTGTTTGCTCAATTGATTTCTGCAAATGATTACTAACAAGGAAAAAAATTCCATTGCATTAACATTTTTGCTGGCATTAACTTTTTTTTAAGGAAATAGAACATCTGAGGGATTTTGTTATTTTGCTTTTTTATCATTTTCATGATTGATTGAGCTTATTCTTCCAGATAAATCTTAATCATACATATAGCCTACTAATATGAGAGAGCCATCCTGGTGTTTTTAAGGTTTTGTTAAGAATGTGTCATATAATGGGCTGTGTGTGTTGTCACTTCCTCTTTTTCCTGTTTCCTGTGAGCCTGAGATTGCAGTAGGAGGCTGGAGCAGACTTGCGTAAATTATTGAGCAATCTGTTTTTGCCTGTGAAATCCACAGCTCGTTCTGTCTATAATAGTGTTTCAGTCTCCAGATTCTACTCCTGCTTGGTAGTTCAGGGTAATGAAGATAAAATGCACATAATAACCCAAAGCTGTGTCCTATTTTTGTGGATGCATACACTGACTTTTGTGAAAAGTCAAGGTAAGACCAAGTACTTTCAGTTATTTGTATGCATTTTTACTTTCCATTTAATTAACTTTTTGTGATGATAAACATGCAAAAAATTTTTAATGTATTTTTGGTATTTTCCTATCCCACAGATTGTACCCTTCAATCATTTTTAGATGGTCCCCTATATGATTCAAATTTTGACATATCTGATCTGGCGGCCAGCTACCCTGGTGGAAAACAAGTCAGAGTGAGCTGCAGTGTCGGCTACAGTGGTTTTTTCCGACTGATCTGTGTCGAGGGAAAATGGCAGCCTAGAGGCAATAAATGTCAACGTAAGATACAATCTTTTACTATTTGCAAAAAAAATGCCATTTGCCATTATGAGTGGTAAACACTTGTACATAATATGCAACATGTAATGCTGGATCAGTTTTCATTCTGTTAAATGGACATAGTGTAATGGTTTGAGTCAGTGCACAATGCCAAAGCAGGCTAAACTTTATTATATGATTATTGTTTATAGTGTGCATTTTAGGTTATAGAAAATATGGCTAATCATTATTGAATGGAAGAACCGCTTGCCTCATCACTGCAATTTAGACCTTAACAATATATTTACTCATACTCTCTCTCATTCTTATGTAGCAAAATCATGTGGTCATCCCGGCGATGCCCAGTTTGCAGATTTTCATCTAGAAAAGGGAGAAGACTTTGTCTTTGGGTCAAAAGTTGTATACACCTGCCACAAAGGGTATGCAAGTCTTTATGATCACAAATGTATACTGTTGTTTGGTGTGTTTTTTGGGCTTTGTATTATAGTATTATACTTTTATCCATGTAGTATACCCTACATAACAAGGAGTGCACTTTAAATTTGGCCCTTAATGAGATATTTCCATTTTCCATTTTCTATTTTATACCTGTTTCAGTTACCAAATGGTCAGTCGCACAAACTACATGCTTTGCATGGCTGAAGGCTGGGATGGGGTTGTTCCTGTTTGTGAAGGTAAGACCTGAAAGTAAGAATCACTGTCATCGGTGCCTGACACACAAGGAGAAATATCACTGTTTTTATTTCTCTGTGTCACCTCTTTTGAAACACTTTTTTCTTACCTGCTTATAGGTTGACGCATTTGAAAGTTTTTTTGATCATTCAATCCATTAAAATTCATCATACTTTTTTTTCTTCCAGCGCAACAATGCCCATTGATTCATGTGGACAATAATGTGCAGGTGAATGGAGACCCTGAGGAAGCAACCTTTGGCAATGTAGTTCGATTTAGCTGCAAGTCCAATACTGAAATCCTGTCTGGTGCAACTGAGATCTATTGTGATGAAAATGGAGATTGGAGCGACAAAGCTCCAAAATGCAAAGGTAAAGCAGGATGTCTAAAATGAAAACAGGATGCACAGAAAGGTCTTTCTTTTAGAAAAGAAAGGGGAAGACAGAAACATGTAATTATGTGCTAAAAAAAGGAGACCACTTTTAATCAGCCAGCAACTAGTAACAAGAACACATAGCCATCGAATAGTCACCACTTAACACCCATTAACCAACAGAATTAATTTCCCACCAAGACCTACCTTGCATTTACACCATAGCTTGATGAACTTATAATAATACTGTAGCAGATAATCAGGGATTTCTACCACACTCAAATGGTCCCTTTCAACAGGTATGGGAATGTGGTCCAAACACAGTTCTGAAGTAAAAGCATGGAAAACAAAGATCAGTAGTAGTAAAATTTATCTCAAACTGAAACTTGATAACTGAATGATCTTCACGGACTTGGAGATGTTACATCTTAATGGACTAGTTCAGCATTTTGGGAAATAGCCATCCCACTTTTCTGGAGTAGATGAACAGATAAATAGCACTCTCATAACTGTCCAATGAATATGGCATTACAGCCAACAGGCGGTTAGCTTAGCTTAGCACAAACACAGGAAACAAGAGGAAACAGCAAGCAGACAAATACATTTTATTAAAATAAATGTTCTCACTGAAATTACCCTGTTTTCCTGAGTTTGTGATATTAAAAAATATCTAATAATATATAAATATAAAATTTTTGCTGTCAATGTTTCCTTGTTTTTACTTGAATGTTTCCAGTGGTCTAATGAGCATAATCTCTTTCTCTCCTTGTAATATTTTTTGTGTTTACTGTTCATTTGCCTTTTCATGAAAAAAAATGTTGTAGTTATATTGATGCTTTTGGGTATTTTTCAACAGCGATACAATGTTCATCGCCCAATATTGAAAATGGATATGTGCCTGGAAATATCCAAGTGTACAAAGAACACGATATCCTGCGTTTTGAGTGCAATGAGAAATTTAAAGCCACTGAAAGCAGACCTTCAAAATGCATAAAACTAGGACCAAAAGCAGAGTGGAGCCCCACACCTGTGTGTGAACGTAAGTATAAACTGAGTAATCAAATTTGTTGGTTATATCACACTAGTGAAAACTGGTGCTTTGTGGATGGATGTGATGGTGCTAGTGTGCCTTGTTACAACAAACTAATAGAAAACATGCTTTGTTTCACAACAAATGCAGCAATAAGATGCAAATTGCCATCAACGCCACTAGGAACCAGGTATGAACCCCCTTACAGAAATGTGTTTTCACCTGGTGACACAGTAAGAGTCATTTGTGGAGAGAAGTATGGGATTTCTAACCATCGAGACACCTCAGCAGTAACTACATGCGATGATGATGGAGAATGGACTCTCAGACCAGTATGCCTAGGTATAAAACTACATGATTCAGGGCCAGAGAAAGATTATGCAATTGTTGTTGTTACTGTGTGTGTGGTTCATTAATCTGTGATGATGATTATTAATATTATCTCAATTTACTTTACATTCACAAGACTTTCTCTTATTTTAGAGGTTATATGCAGCAATCCACGAGATAACCTTGTGTATTACTGGTATGACAATTGGAGGCAACCAACAAAATTGGATGAGACTGTACGTTATACGTGTAGGTCAGGCTACAGGAGTACAGATGGCGCCACACGGGCCACATGCACCAGAGAGGGGTGGAGACCAAATCCACTTTGTCAAGGTACAGTGAAGTTAATGTTGTGTTTATGACATTAATATTAATTTTGTATGTAAGTGAGGAAGGATATTTTATACTTTAATGTCTGTGTTCCACTAAAAAGTCCTAGGAAAAGCTGTTCAACTCAGGAACTAAAAGTCCCTTGTTTCATTACTAATAATCTGTCCTGGTCCCAGGCTATGGAGGATGGATCCTGACAGAATCTGAAATAAATACAGAAATAAATAAATGCTCAATAAATAATTAAACCTCTCCTAAAAATACAGTAAATAAATTAATTTAGGCAGTAATTAAATTATGAGACATAAATTTATATATCTCTTTTAATTAGCTTCGTTATTTATTCACCTTTGTATTAATTACCTTATTTATTTATTTTCTTTTATAATCTTAAACTTTATTTATCAATTACGTCCTTTTTAAATGTATGTATTTATGTTTGCATTTTAATGTTTTTGTCTGTATTATTCTTCCTTTGCATTTTCTATCCTATTTATTTCCCCAATGGTATTTATTTTTGTCTCCTCTTTTTACATTTCTCTATTCATTCCTGCCTCATTATGCAAATGAGGGGGGCTGTTTATCAAGGGGTCAACTTCTCGCCTATTGGTGGACCAGTCAAACGGCAGAGGTCAAGAAGCATTGCTACTTGGCTTCCTACAGTGATAAGTGAATTAAAGTGTTAAGCAGATCTATTTGAAGACAATACTACCAGCCATGTCTTCCTTCCTTTTCATGTGGACGCTCTGACAAGAAAGCGTTTGTGAAAGTGAAAGTTTGCGGCATGCACAGACACAGAACTGCGGTAAATGGAGCCATCGTTTATGGGATGCACAGAGTCAGCTAGAAGTAGCTAAATTTGGAGTGCACACGTATTGGACCTTTTATGATTGATGCAGTTTAAGCAGTTTTAGCATAGCGAGCTGACAGGCAGGGTTACAGAATTATTCCGTGATTCTCTCTCTTTACAAAGACATGTGCAGTCTGAGAGTCTTATCTTAAGAGAGGCTATCAAGTGTTAATTGTATGCGATACAACATTAACGTTAACACAACACATAGAGTATGAAAATAAGATTAACTGGAGTGATATTTACAGGAAGTATAAAACATGTTACATGTGTCCATTAAAAGTAAAACAATAAATGTCTTTAATTTTGGTTTACTGGAAAAACATTAAATAAATAATTCCTGACAATGACAACACATTTGAGTTCAATATAAATCTGACTACATAGAAAATTTAAATTCCGCTATAAGACAAATATCGTTCCTTAGGCTACATACTGTACAGTATTTGTGAATAGCTACATCCTGGAGTTCATTGTCATAGGCTGGTAACAGATGGGTTACCAATTTTTTTTAGGTACAGCAAATTCAGAATAAAGAGCAGTGGCACAGGGGCTGATAATGTGCAATTAATAAAACAATTTACATTTCAACAAATACAACTTTTTGCTCATGTATTAAACTTAAAATGCTGGGTACCTATAAGTTAAAGTGCTGGTAAACAGAGCTGAACAGTTGACAATGAACAATGACATTCTCTGGCAGCTTTTGAATTCATGATCATGCTATTCTTAATTGTGATGTGTCACAAAAATTATATACTAATTTAAATAAAAACAAATGATTTTGTCCTCCCTTTAGGGCCCCTGTCCACCAAAGCGTTTTTTACCAACTAGTGATAGGAAAAGTCACTCTTTTGACAGACTCCAGTCACCAAATCTTGTTCATTAAAATGAGGTAATGTTTTTGTCATTGTGTCATTTCGTTCATTTTAACTAGGCTGGTTATTGCTGTGCTGCAACCCTCTAGTGGAAAATTAAAAAAAAAAAAAGAGCTTGACACACTAGATGAATAAAACACACTCTTATTTAAATTTAACAAATTTAATAATAATCTCAAACACTACAGGTTGTTCTTCAGTCATGAGCGGTGAAACAAAAGCCCAGCTCTGTTGGTAAATAAAAAGTAAAAGTTACGTTGAGTTCACTGGCGGACCCGGATCAACTGTTAGCTGTAAACAAACCACAAGGCTACAACGCTAACGTTGCTATGTGGCTGTGTTTTAATGTTTTAATGACTGGGTCCGTTTGTTTTGGAGAGGAGACGACCTCTGTGGTAACTCAGCTCCCGGTAGAACCCTGTTAGGGCTCTGAAGTGGCGCGGACCCAGAATAACTCTGTTGACTGTAAACACTAGCAGGACTAAAGTTACGGTACGGCTGTGTTAAAACTATGGCACAACATCACTGCGCTGTAATAATGTTATGCTTTGTTAAACGTCACAAAATTATCAAAATAGATATATGCCAGTCCAGTGACTGTTACCTGACAACCGACTTGCCTCTCATTCCCAGGTGCTGGCAGTAAGTCAGCCTGCCGAGTGAAGACGAGGATCCATAAGAGTGGTGAACCACAGTTGAGAGTCGTGAACAAATCAATACTGTTTCCTGTGCTGATGCTGTGACATACAAGATTAGGTCAAATGAACAAAGCGTTCTTTGAATGACACAACACTGACTGACTAAACAACTGACAACGCCAGCTGCTGTTCTGAAAACCCAAGTTGAAGTGCTACCGGGCATTTTTTTGAGGCGCAGCGTTTTTTCCGGCTGTTTTGTTTGTTTGCTGTTTTAAATGTTAAAGTAGTAGGCATACTAGACAGACAGTTGTACATAATCTTGAATGTTTCCACTTCTTATCCTGTAGTTACACCATAATATTAGGGGTGTGGGTTGTATTAAAATATCTACACAACTATCCAAGTTGGATCAGTGTTGGAAACCCACCTTAAAAAAAGTTATTAGCAAGCATGCAAGAGCCTAGCTAATAAGGAGAGCTATGTTAACGTTAGATCACAGCTAGGTTGTTGAGCTAAGCACACTGTACATAGCTGGAAGTCAATATCAACTGTCATTCTGTTACCTCCGCCCGGGCACAGTTAAGCATACCGGCACGCAGCGATCACACTGGTCAAACGAACTGGACTTTTGGGGTTAAAAGTGCTTGGGCACAGTATGGATCGCCTAGTGTGAGTACACCCTTACACTCACTGCTGATTATGTCACTGCATCTCCTGACACAAGACCATGGGTAAATTTTCAGCCTGAATGGACGTTTTGTTGAAACAGAGCCGCTAATAATAGCTAAGCAACAAGTGGCTCCGTGTCCGAGCATTTATCGTAAAAATAATCAAATACGAGTGCAGTCCAGATTTAACTGCGGCTAGCTGACCATGAGGTTCTCACAAACAACAGCTCACTTTCCCGCAGTTGTGTTCATATGTGTCGCTAACTGAAAACACTGGAGGTCAGAGGGTCCACACGAAAAAGAAGGAACACATGGCTGGTAGTATTGTCCTCAATGAGAGCTGCTAAACACCTCAGTCCACTAAAGGAAGCCATCTCCTGTGACTATGTCAGGCTCAAGCTTGTTGATGTGTGCATGTGGAGTCGACCTCTGCCGTCTGACTGGTCCATTAATATGCTAGAAGTTGACCCCTTGAGACAGGGTTCCCCTTAATTTGCATAATAACATAGAAATGCATAGAGAAATGTTAAAAGGGGAGACAGAAATAAATACCATTTAGGAAATAAATAGGGTAGAAAATGCAAAGGAAGAATAAAACAGACAAAAATATTAAAAACCACACATAAAAAAATACATTTTAAAAAAGAAATTAATAAATAAAATTGGAGATTACAAAGGACAATAAATAAATAAGGTAATTAATACAAAGGTGAATAAATAAAAAAGTTAATTAAAAGAGATCTATACATTTGCCTTGTATACTTTAATTAATGCATACATTTATTTATTTACTGTATTTTTGGGCATTTAATGGGATGTTTATTTATTTATTGAGCATTGCATTTGCTAATATCAAGTTATGCTGCAGTGTCTGCAAATAATACCAATATTTCACATTGCCTGATATTCCACTCCCCTGAACTACAAAGCTATGTCACGTTCACTCCCATAAACACTCGTACCTAATGACATAAATACATCATAGTGATCACATTCAAAAATCAGCGACATCAGCTGCCATAAATATCAAACATTTAATGGCCTTTTTATCACTGCAGGATGTTCTCCAGGCAACAAAGTAATCTTTTAAGGAACTTAAAAGCTTTAAATTTAAATTATTGATGTCTAAAAAATGTAAAGTTGACCACATGTAGTAGACTAATACTACAAAAGGAGCGAGATAAAACGAGACAATTAGAGCACAAGTGAAATGAAACAAACTAGTGAGCAGATTTATTCAGCAGGTGTGTGGCTATTTTAGCCATTTTATTCTCTGTGTCTACCTTGTAGTAATTCTACTACCACCGCTCTCAGTCACATGCTTTGAATCTCTTGATGTCTTTGCTTACAAGTTCATACCCTCCATATCATCAACTTATGCCTGTGCTTGTATGTACCAACCATAGACTGTGGTACTAACTAGTGGGAAATAAATGTGTAGAGTTGTGTATAATTGCATTTTGTTTTTCAGAAATAACATGCAGCCGACTGGAGATTGCAAATGCAATTCTCAACGATGACAGGCAGATATACAAAAACTATGAAAAGGTCAATTATGTCTGCGAGAAAGGTTATCGGGGAAGTCCAACTCGAACCTGTCGGGAAAATAGTTGGACAGGTGATTCAAAATGTACAGGTAAGGAAGTAAAGAACAACATTTAAAATGCAGTTCAGACTGTATGATGTGATCAGACTGTAATGTGAAAAACATTCTTTGCCAAAGCTCAAAGCCATGACGCTAACCCTTTATTGCTACTTTGATTAAATCATAGATACACTGAAATAATAGGCTATAATACTCCCTCTGTGTCCATTAGACACGATATCAAGATGTATGAATCATTTCGATGCTAATGCATGTATAAACAATATGTAATAACCGCAGCTGTATTTTCTTATATCTAATCAAGTGTAAGATGCAATCATTTGTTCTCTGTGTATAGAATACAGTTTTGAAGGTAGAAAGATCATGTTGAACAAAATCAAATTTTCTTTATACATATAAACTACTCGTAGTGGGCTGATTCCATACTAAGACACTTCATGTTGAGTTTGTCCTTCAATTTGTCACCCATCTGTACATAAATAACCACAAAGGGACTATTCTAACCAGTGAATACTTTTGATATTTTGAAACATCTTGCTAATCTTATTTTTAGCATAAGTCAAAATTGGAATGCGGGACTGACTCCGGGTGCTTCCTCCCACTGTCCAAAGACATGCAGGCTAGGTTAATTGGTGACCCTAAATTGTCCTTAGGTGTGAGCGTGACTGGTTGTTTGTCTATGTGTGGTCCTGAGATGGACTGGTGACCTGTCCAGGGTGTACCCCGCCTTTTGCCCCAGCTGGGATTGGCTCCAACCCTCCGCGACCCTGTATGCAGGATAAGCAGTTGACGATGGATGGATCCTTTACCAGCTCTGATGTGAAAACTAAATACTGTTTCCAACTGCCAATCAGTGTACAGAGTAACTGTATTTCTTTGTCTTTTTTTCAGCAATAACATGCGATAGAAAAACTTACCCGACTGCAGACATTGAGGGAAACGTTAAGCCCGAATACAGGTACAATGACCAGGTCGAATATATCTGCAAGAATGGTTTAAAGGGACGTTTTACTCTAACCTGTTCGGAAAATGGCTGGACCGGGTCTCCAGAGTGTGCAAGTAAGAAAATACAGTACACAATACAGTTACAAGGACAAATGTTGTCTCTTCCATCCCTTTGTAAATTGTTATTTTTCACACTAACACAACAATTAAAGATATTTTAACAGGCTTGCCCACTATTCAGAATATCAAATTGATACAAATTTAAAACTGATATTAATCTGTTTTTAATGCTTAAGTAGACACTCTTTAACCTTGATGACTTGATGGATTGGTGGGGACAGCAGCTCCATGCCTCATTTCCATCTTTCCTACCTGTCTTGAAAAAAATAACTTCACATTTTACATTTTTAAAGGTTATATTTGAGAGTTTTGTTTAATGTTTCTTATGAATATTCTCAGAAAATGTAGAAACATAGAACCACATATGTGTTGTTGAACAGTCTCTGTACCTACAATCAAGATGGTCTGGTTGAAAATGATAAATTAAGCTCATGAGGCAGCCGTGAAGATATACAACTGTCTTTTTGTATAGGCAACACAAATATCAAATTCCTTGGCAATCTATCCAACAAGGTTTTTAATATTTCAGCCTGGACCAAAGTGGTGGGCCAACAGACAGACCAACCTCCTAGTTCTCTGCAATCTGTTGATTATTGCCGTCTAAATATAACTTCTTTCTCTGTTTTTCATTGATACCACAGAATGCGAAAAGGCTAATGTTGAACATGGATTTGTACTTGGCCCATTTAATGACACGGTGTACTACTCCTGTGATAAAGGTTATAAGCTTTTCACCAAAGGCTGGTGGAGTGAAGCCACATGTATTGACGGTTTTTGGTCTGGATTTCAACGATGCATTGGTAATTCATCTTTAATGTCTTAAATGTCTGGTTATAACCAGCATGAAGCAAACTGGCCACAGAGGCTTGTAGATGTAGAAAATTAACTTCAAGCTGACAGACAACTTAAACCTGTACATCATTTTAACTAGAAAATGAAATGTGGTTTTGAAGTATAGTCAGTATAATCAGTATTTTCTGAAATAGATGTCAATCCCGCCCACTTCCACACTATAAATTGGCAGTGAATGCCATTATTCCTCATGGGAAGCAAAACTCAGTATGACTGCAATCACAGCATATTTTACAATAGGCTATATGAACAAATTACGTGTTAGTTTGAATTCATTAAAACTAGATATTTAGGAAAAAGGTAACATCCCTGATGCAGGCTGGTTTTGGTACTTTTTGCTAATATCATATGTATTTGCAGCAATATCCAATCCTAACTGTTTCTAATTGTATCCACTCTAGATGAAAAAAATTGTGGAGAAATTCCTGTTATTCCTAATAGTGAAGTGCCACTTCAAGACAATGATTACCGAGATGGCGAACACTTCCAGATTAAATGTAAGGAAGGATACCGTGATCAGGATTTCTTAACATGTCACAATGGAATTTGGCAGTCAGAACAACCACTCGAAACAATCTGTGCACGTGAGTCATCTTTAGTATTATATGATCAGATTTAAGTATAAAAAGATTACATGGTGTAACCTAATACTATATGTTTTACCCGTGTTCTCTTGCAGCTTATGCCAGTCATTGCAATCCCCCACCTAAAGTTCAGAATGCAGTTGTTGTGACTTCCTATCAGAAGAATTTCTTGTCTAACTCTGAAGTAACTTATAAGTGTCATGGGAAGTATACAATGGAGGGGGAGGATACGATTCGATGCATAGACGGGAAATGGGAGACGAAGAAATTTAACTGTACAGGTACGCACATCCAAAAGCATTTTGCAAAGTCACACCAATAGATAGATTGCTGTTCTATTTCTGTGTGCATGAATTATGTCTTTTACATTTTATTTTTTTTTCATTTATCAGGCTTTTATTAAAAGTGACATAATAAACGCAAAGTGATAAATACATCAGACATGGCAGAATTTAAAATGTTATCTAAAAATGATGTGGTCAATCTTCACCTGTGTGGCAAAAGATGATAACTACGGAAGTAAATATATATATATGTAAGTACTGATAGTGGAGACAGCAACTCCAATCTATCTACGCACAAAACTAATTTATATATATATATATATATATTCATAACATTCATAAAAAATATAATGTGGTCGGTGTATTTTTTTTGTAACTATTTTACTTGTACACCAAGATGAATGATAATTGCTTAATTATTTTAATACAGTTCAATCAATCAGTCAGTCTCAAATCGAAAGGTGAATTCTCCATCCAGTGACCTGAAACTAAACAGTACACACACACAGTTCCTAAAGGACATCAACTGGCCACAGAATGTAGGTTTTTTTTGTTTTACTGCTTGTTGTCAGCTGCCCAATAATCACACGTTGCGTTCACGGCCGCGGTGGCTTGGTACACCGTACGGTCGGTCGCTCAGCTCTGCGAGGGGATTGCACGGAGGTCTGTCCGCTTTGAAGAAAACTCTTGCAGTGATAGACATTTCACCCTGGCTCGGTTCCTTGTTTGATGTCCTCTGTGTTACTGCTCGCGTAACTAACCCACGTGGCTGGCCTCCGACTCGTCGTCGTTGGGAGGAGTGAGGTAAATGTTAATTCGAACCGAAATAAAGCTTTAATGCTAGAACACACAATTTCTCTACTCTCATCACTTCCAAAAAGCACAATCATAGATTCCTCTTTAACACTGATAATCTCTTAGTAAATCCTACTCCTCCCTCTGATGTTGGAGTTGGTATCTTCTTTTAAGTCTCGCCTGAAAACGTATTTATTCAAGAAAGCGTTTTCTGATTTTATCTGATTGGCTAGCCTTTTAATTATTTTATTTACATTTTAATTTGCATGTTATATCTTACTTATTTGGTGTCTTTTTAACTGTTATGATTTTAATTGTTCTTTGTTTTCTGTGAAAGCACTTTGTACTCAATAAGTGCTCTACAAATAAAGTTATTATTACTATTATTATTGTAAAATAATTTTTAAGCATTTGCTAAAAGTAAAAGTAATTGTTAATATTCCATAACAGTTAGAATAGTTACCAGTTAAAAACATTTCCTAGGGTTCATAGCAATTGGGAAGAACATCTTAAATACCTCCAGGAGAATACTGATTGTTAGACGTTCTTAAAATTAAAAGAACATGGTATAAATTAAGCACATGGAGAGGCAGTTACCAATGGCATGTAATACTTATTTTGTCCTCTGGGGAGGGACCCTGAATTCAAACATAAATTAAATGCAGGAATGTAACTGTGTATTGATGAAGATTAAGAGCACAGCAAAATTAACATATTTATGGTTTCTTCTTTTCAACCTAAAGTTCCTAAACAAGAACATGGTAATCATTTATTCAAAATTGGTGAGGGCCACAAATAACTTTTAAAGATTATTTAACTAAAGAGATTAATAAGGCAAGTTTAGAGACAGCATTCTTTGTCCACACAAAGTAATTTGAGGTAGTGTCCTTCCTCTGGTGTTTCGATTTCCTTATCAGTTTCACATAGCCGTGAAAAGGGAGAGGTCATGTTAAGAGTCCGTGTTAATGGCTCTTTGGTGGGGTAGAGAATCAGGACTGAAGAAAGGTGTTCTTTGATGTCTGAGGTAATTTGAAAAGGGGAACATCGTTACTATGGTTACCCTGCCCTTTTGATCTTGTGAAGTGTCTGTGAGAGTTTCATGATCCCTGTCCAAAAAGGTCCTGGCAGCCTGGTTCAGGATAAGGTTAGTCTCTGGACAAGGTTAATATTTTAACAGTCATGTATAGTCTGTTATATCAACTTCACAGGAGGTGGTAGGTCTTATCGTCAAAACTTCCCAACAGCATTTGGAGCGGAGCAAACCTTTCACCCCTCCTTTGGAGTACTTAGGGCCTGGAGTCACCCCCCGCTTTCTTTCAGGGAGACAAAGAGAGCTATGCTGGATTCTTTCCTTTTGGCATAAAATAATTAAACCAACACTGGCTGGTTCACTACAACAGCTACAGTATGCTTTTGTAGCTGCAGTGCCTTAAAAATGATAGAAAATATTAAATAACTGGATGATTTGATCCGAGTTGTGTTAACATTTAATGTTTTGTCATAAACTTCAGCTCCTGCCCCCCAACATGTCTGTGCAAGTCCTTAGCACACACACATGCACACGCACACACACACACATTATCTGTTTTGCTTCCATGTCTTCTTTTACTCTAATGGAAAGAACATAACATCATTTGATAATATCTGTTTTATTCTTTCCAGAAATCACGTGTAAAGTTACCGACTCAATGCCCCCTCATCTCAATGTAACTGGACTACCACAAAACAAAATAATGAAGATTGGACATAAATTACACTTTGACTGTGATGGTCAATATGGACTGGTCGGGTCTGAAGAAATTGAATGTTTACAAACTGGACAGTGGAATGCCCCTTTTCCAACTTGTGCTGGTATGTTCACTTTTATTGAAGGTTAATCCCACCTATGTTGATTTTACATCCCTTAGTTTATGTTTTTAAGAAAACTTGAATATTAATTCTCACAAAATATAGTAAAGGTTAATGATTAGTTTAGTTAAAAAGGCGAAATTTATACCTGGATATCGTCATGGAGCACCATCAAGCAGGGCTGGGCAGTATATCGGTATAACAAACAATACCGATATAATTTCAAAAGAGACATAAAATTACACAAGTTTAGAGACAGCATTCTTTGTCCACACAAAGTAATTTGAGGTAGTGTCCTTCCTCTGGTGTTTCGATTTTCTTATCAGTTTCACATAGCCGTGAAAAGGGAGAGGTCATGTTAAGAGTCCGTGTTAATGGCTCTTTGGTGGGGTAGAGAATCAGGACTGAAGAAAGGTGTTCTTTGATGTCTGAGGTAATTTGAAAAGGGGAACATCGTTACTATGGTTACCCTGCCCTTTTGATCTTGTGAAGTGTCTGTGAGAGTTTCATGATCCCTGTCCAAAAAGGTCCTGGCAGCCAGGTTCAGTATAAGGTTAGTCTCTGGACAAGGTTAATATTTTAACAGTCATGTATAGTCTGTTATATCAACTTCACAGGAGGTGGTAGGTCTTATCGTCAAACTTCCCAAACAGCATTTGGAGCGGAGCAAACCTTTCACCCCTCCTTTGGAGTACTTAGGGCCTGGAGTCACCCCCCGCTTTCTTTCAGGGAGAGACAAGAGAGCTATGCTGGATTCTTTCCTTTTGGCATAAAATAATTAAACCAACACTGGCTGGTTCACTACAACAGCTACAGTATATGCTTTTGTAGCTGCAGTGCCTTAAAATGATAGAAAATATTAAATAACTGGATGATTTGATCTGAGTTGTGTTAACATTTAATGTTTTGTCATAAACTTCAGCTCCTGCCCCCCAACATGTCTGTGCAAGTCCTTAGCACACACACATGCACACGCACACACACACATTATCTGTTTTGCTTCCATGTCTTCTTTTACTCTAATGGAAAGAACATAACATCATTTGATAATATCTGTTTTATTCTTTCCAGAAATCACGTGTAAGTTTGACTCAATGCCCCTCATCTCAATGTAACTGGACTACCACAAACAAAATAATGAAGATTGGACATAAATTACACTTTGACTGTGATGGTCAATTGGACTGGTCGGGTCTGAAGAAATTGAATGTTTACAAACTGGACAGTGGAATGCCCCTTTTCCAACTTGTGCTGGTAT